CTTGTGCCACGATAAGCCGCTTTTCACACTCAATCTGGCTAGCAAACCGCCCCAACCCGACCCGTCCCCCAATTGTCACCCCTTCCTTTGCCTCAATGCATGTAAATGACATTATTTTATCACTTGTTTTCGTTTGCAATACACTTTTTATGTAAGATGTGTAAAGTAGAGTATATATGTACATGTACTTGTATTGCAGATCTAGATCAAGATCTAATGTCGTTTACCGGTAAACGCACCGGGTACTTCCATTACATCTCCTTGGATTAAATTCCTTGCATTGATATACTTCAAGTAGGGCCTATATTATGCTGTCATAATATTAATTCTGATCTTTAAACTCAAGACAGCATACCGTATAGGTATCACTTCCGATGTTCAGACAGCATGCCGTGGAAATATCAACTACAATCTTCAGACGGCATGCCGTCGAAATATCGCTACCCTTAACAGATTCACAACCACGCCCCCGAAAAATGTCCGTAACTTTGAATTGAAACATTGAGAATCACTGGAGCAAATCGTACCAGGGCCAGAATTACATGCACACACGCTGAAGCCAAGACTGAAGCCCGCCAGCCTTACACACCTGCAGGTAGAAATAAACCGTTGAAATGCTTAAAATAGTGTAAACTCTGGTCTGCCTCAATTAATCTCATCGGCCGTAGCAGAAACCCAAATTTGTCCTGATTCACATTTCTTCCTCTATGTCCCGTTAAGAAAAGAATTGTTTTCCTCTGTATAGACATCAGTCATCGTCCGACTTTGAAAATGGTGAAATGATACAGGTTTAACACCTCTATCAACACTGTTAGGTTCTTTGAGGCAAGACCTCCGAGTTTTTAAGTCCATCTCCGAAAGGACAGAGATAAAAGAGAAATTCTTGTAAAGTGCCTTTCCCAAAAACCCAAAGTAGGCGTCAGACATTGACGGGTGAACTACAGAGTGATCCCCCCACCCTAAAAAAAACCCTAAACCAAGGAAAACAAAACAGAACTGTACAACTTTTTTTGTTAATATTTTCCTCCACACTGAAGGTTTGTGTTTCAAATTTTTACCCAACATTTGGAAGTCAAAACGAATTTGTCTGACATTCATTTGAGATAAATCCACCGAATAGTTTTGCTCTACATAGCACGTAGTAAAAAAACCCACCCAGCTCATTTTCAGGTATATCCCCATTTTTGTAGCATGACGCATTAGTTCGCATTAGGCCTACTACTAAAATTCCCAACGATTTCGCCATATCGCAAACTGCAGTAGTCTAACAGGCCTACAGAAGTTTGCATTTAGTTTTTCTCAAGTTTCCTTTGGCTGCTGAGATCATGGTTAAGATAAGTACAGAGCAGAGAGCTTTTTGTATTTAACCTTTCCTCACAGCCAATTCATTTCACAAGGTTCCCGCAAAGTACGGGAATAAAGTTAAAGAGCCCTGATGGCCTTCTTTGGTGTCAAGGGTGGAAATTGTCCATAAGGTAGTACCTGTCGAGAATCAGAACAAAAAATTCACAGACAAAACGTCCATTTCATGTCAAACTTACACCGTTCGCACCCCTTTAAACGTCTTCAGGCTGCAGAATTCAGTAGAAGAGCGCCATGACACGTCTGTCCGTAGACGATGTCTGCTGCAATGACTTTCCTACATCTCAACGGTCCGCATTTTCAAGGCATACCTTCAACTACGACTGTACCATTTTCCCGTTCACAAAGCTATCAGGAAATCAATGTGTTCACAATTCCTTGATCGTCTTGAAAAGCGTTAACATTTCCTCTATGACATTTGGTTCCTTGGAAAAGCCCATAATATTCACCTTTAAGGTTATATTCAACTCCACAAATGTTGTCTATTTGGAAAACCTCACCCTCCCCTCTCCCTGTTGTCTCTAGAAACTAAAAACAGCTCCATACTGTAAGATGTAGGGAATATATGGCTTTGACTTTGAGTACTCATGGTTGAGTGGATACGTGTGTCTGGCCACCACTGAACATTACCAACAACGCGTTAAAAGGTGATGAGTCCAAAGGAGGACATATATAGACCATTAGTTTTCGGAATTCCAGAATTTAAAAAATACTTTTAAACACTGTAGGAGAAAACAAATGTTGTTAAAAAATTACAGGGATGGAAAGATCAGATTTTAAAAAGAAAAAGAAAAGAAAAAACAAACCAATCATTTCATTACTTTCCTTACAAGATCTTTTAAATTAGTGCATTTTGCATTTATAGTTCGTTTTTTTAAATCTATAAAAGCCTTAATTTCCATTTTCGAAAAAAAATTTCTTCTGTGTGAATTTGATGTCAACAAATTCCTTTTGAATGAATTTTATCCGTTCCAAATTAGAGTATACTAATACAAATTTAGTTAGAAAAAAGTTGTTTTTTTATCACCGATTTAAAGATAGCGTGTATAATTTCAGGTATGTATTATCATAAATAATGTGTTTGTTTGCCTATACTGTTACTAGAGAGAGAGAGAGAGAGAGAGAGAGAGAGAGAGAGAGAGAGAGAGAGGGTGTAAGCATAATGTAATGCGTTTGCTATTAGTATGTACGATTGTTTGTATACATTTTACCTTGGTGTGTACATGTATGTATTTGTTTGTGAGTATGTATGTGTACATGTATGTCTGTGTGTGTATGTGTGTACTTACTCTATCACTTATGTGTGTGCGTGTGTGTGTGTG